GGCAACGTTTCACTTCGATCCTTGTTTCTGGATAGGAGAAGAACGGCGTCGTTCCGACTTGGTCTTGTTCTGCACTTCGTGGGAAATCCAGCCTTCACTCTTACAGCAGCAGCTTGATGCAGGATGATCAATGAAGAATGAGCTGCTGCTGTTTGTGATCCAAACCATCACTCCAATATTAAATTTCGGCGCCAAAGCTGATGAATGGCGGGGGATTCTTTGTCTGGATTTCTATTTGACGACCTAGATTTTTAAATTTATCGCCCTAAGCCCTACTCAAAAGTCCTTTTTGCCCCTTGACCCTAACCGAACCCAAAACGCACATTTCCCCTGTCGAACTCTCCTCCCCTTCCTCGACTCCTCAGCCGCCGCCGAGCTAGCTAACTCCCTAAACAAATCCCCACCCAAAACTACCCCCGCCGTTATTTTAAAGTCGCCGAACAATAAATCCCCATCCCTCAGTCGAGCCAAGGAGGAAGACGAGCGTTGGCGTTGCTGGCCTACCGTCGAGTCAACTAGGAAGGAGTTCGAATCCACATCCTTTGCAGCCGCCCAACTCCATCGGATCCTTCATTGGTCACCAAAATGGGGAAAAAGGGTTACAATTAATGTCGTCACCTGTTAGCAGTTATTACCTTGTTGATTATGATGGTGGTGGTGGTGGTGCGGAAGCGGCAGAGTGGTAGAGGCGGGAGGGGCGGAGGACCTCTACTGGCGGCAAGCACCGAGGGATGAAGAATCAATTAATTGGGGGGAATCGGAATTAAAGGGGAGGGGATTGGGGATTGACGGTGAGCTTGTCGGAGATTATGACGGCTTCCAGGATCTGCCTGACGAGCAGGGTAGGTGGCCACCGGAATTTTTTTGAACCACCGAATGAGAAGGGTATGAATGTGATTTCACCAGTAGTTAGGGAGATTTTTTTAAATTCTTAGGGCGACAAATAGTACTTCTCTTCTTTGTTTCCACCTTCTCTTTTCAACCTAGTTAAACTACTCACAAGGTAAGTTGTGAGTATATACTCACAGAGACAGAGAAAGGGGGCCCGAAATTAAAAAAAGATTGGGCCATTCTCACTATCCAGTTGCATAGAAAAGGGGGCCCACAAATTAAAAAAAAAACATATGTGAGTCTCCTCCTCTCTTTCCATCACTTCGTCAGAATAACACATCCACACAACCAAATATCCAAATCACCCAGAATAATATCCGTTCACCATAACAAATATCCTCTAAGACCAATATCTAGTCAGCCCATAATTAATATCCTCATCATAGAGACTAATACCCACCTCACACGGACTAATATCCGACAATCGCAGACAAATACCCACGACGAATAGATTAATATCTGACCATCGCAGACAAATACCCACGACAAACATATTAATATCTGACCATCGCAGACTAATACCAGCTACACATATCCGAACCACCTAAACTAATCTCCATTCATTGCAAACAAATATTATTGTTTCATGTGCCGAAGGCCCATGGGCCCTCGGCAGGCAGCCCTAACTAAGGTTGCAAGCCTTATGCGTTAACATTTGATAGTGTATTTAGTTTTGATGGAAGACACAATATCCATTACTTCGCAAACTAATATCCATCGTATGAACATCATTATATCCTATCATCACATACTAATATCAGTACATAAAAAAACAATTTATCACTGACCAATATCCACTAAAAAAAGAAATAAGAGAGAGAAAGAGGGTTATAGAGTTACAGGTGGTTGGGAATTTAGTGGGTCATCACTTCTCCTTTTTGTTTACCCTTGTCTCTATGAGTATCTACTCACAAATTAGCTTGTGAGTATTTTAACTTTTTTGTCTCTTTTTCTACTTCGGCGTCAAATAGAAGTTTTGTTTTTTATTTATTTAGTCATGGAACGGTGTCGTTAGTACCTTTCTTTTATTTTCAACCCGACCCGGCACGGCCGTCGGCCGGGTTTAGCACAGGTAAAGAGTGAAGATCGTCAGAGAACTGAACTTCAATCGATAACCCAGGCTAAGAAGTAAGTGATAAGGGAGCAACATTCTCGACAACTACCTCTGCACATCTCCCCCACTCTTCGTTTGTGATTGTTACTTTCTGTTATCTCTGTTCCTAAGTTTGTGTTAGTGGAGAATTAGCTTCCTTAGGAATAGCTATTAGTTGAGAGGCTCATTGTATAAATATGCATCAATAATACAAACACAACTCAGTTTTTTTTAGGCTCTTACATGGTATCAGAGCACATTACACTCTAACGAGTCACTGCTTCTTTTCCTTCTTTCTTCTCGATCCTTCTTCTTCTTTCTTCAGCACCCACAATGACCGACCCCTCCTCTGTTTCGTCTTCCTCTGCTTCCGGCGATTCCACCTTGCTGCCGGTTTCCTCCATCTCCCTGCCTCCCAACCCACAGCTCACTGTCAAGCTCACCCCCCACAAATAACTTATTGTGGCATGCCCAAATCACTCATCTTCTTCGCTGTCATCAATTGATGGGCCATGTTGACGGTTCTCTTCCTGCTCCACCATAAATCGTCAATGGCCAGCCCAATCCCGCCTACTGGCCATGGTATGTGCGACACCAGTATGTGCGGACCTGGATCAATCTCTCGCTCTCCGAGGCTGTTCTGCCCAACGTCGTCAACAAAGCCACTGCTCTTGACGCGTGGTCCGCGTTGGCAACCATTTACGCCTCGGGCTCTCCCGTCGTCATCGGCCAGCTCCGCAAGGATCTCCTTCGCCTCTCTCGCGGCACTGAGACGATTCATGAATATCTCCACCGCGCAAAAGCCATCTATGACAAGATGCTTGCTCTCGGCGCGACGGTCACCGAACAAGAGCTGGTGATTGCTCTTCTGGATGGACTCGACGAGGACTATCGTCCTTTCACTCGGAATCTGGAGGCGCGCCTGGAACCCATATCCTTTGAAAACGTCAGCAGCTTGCTTCTCAGTGAGGAGATGCAGCTCCAACAGTTCCGCTCGGCGTCGGCTGCCTTGCCTTCCCCGCAGTCTTTTTATTCCGCTCGAGGGGGGCGGACCGGCGGTCGTTTCTCACGCGGTCGAGGCGACCGCTTTGGCGGTCGAGGATTCTTCCCCCAGCAGCGTTTTTCTAACCCTTCTTTTGCAGGTGGGCGGCCCAATCACGGTGGCCCAAGGCCGGTCTCAACTGGGCTGCTGGGTGCTGGGCCTGCAGGCCCTTCACAGATGCTCTGTTACAATTGTGGGGGGAGGGGACATGTGCGAGCCCATTGTCCAAGCCCAATTATTCCTGACCAGTCCACTTCTCACCCAGGCCCATCCTCTTATCTTGCCCACTCCTCAAACCCGGTCCAGTCCTCTCAATAGTGGTTTCTTGATTCCGGCGCTAACCATCATCTTACCGCCGATTTGGGTAATCTGATTCATCATTCTGAATATAATGGTCCTGATCAAGTCACATTTGGCAATGGTAAATGCCTACCCATCTCTCATTCTGGTTCCTCTCATGCTCGTCTTTCTAATCATTCATATGTTCTCGATAATATGCTTCGCGTTCATCATGCTCCTCAAAATCTTCTCTCTGTGAGCTCCTTAACTCGATCTAATCCTATTTCCATTGAATTTTTTGATACATATTTTGTGATCAAGGACCGCCGCACGAAGGCTGAGCTTTATCGTGGTTGTGGGAAGGATGGTCTCTACTCATTGCCTTTTCATATCCAAAGTCGTACTCTTCCTCGTGTCTTCACTGCCTCCCTTGATATCTGGCATCAACGGTTGGGTCATACCAATCTCCGGGCTGTTAAACATCTCTTGTCTTCACATTCAATAAAATACCATGATAGTCCTGATTCTTTGTGTCATGGTTGTTCTGTTAGTAAAATTCATAAACTACCATTTCCTTCATCACAATATCGTGCTTCTGCGCCATTAGAACTTATTTGTAGTGATCTTTGGGGCTCTGCTCCTATTCTCTCTTATGATCATCAATCTTATTATGTGTTATTTTATGATCACTATAGTAAGTTCAACTGGGTGTATTTTGTGCGCTATAAATCACAACTTCTCAATGTCTTCATCCAATTTCGTCAACTTGTTGAGAAATTTTTTGGTCTCCCCATCAAAACTTTTCAATCTGATTGGGGGGGGGGGGAGATTATCAAGCTTTATCTTCCTATCTCGCCGCCAATGGCATTACTCATCATTCTTCTTGTCCCTATACTCCGGAGCAAAATGGTTGTGCCGAACGAAAACATCGTCATATTGTTAATAATGGTCTTGCTATGCTCCATCAGGCGCATGTTCCGCTCAAGTATTGGTCTCTTGCGTTTGATACCGCTTGTTATCTCATCAATCGCACTCCTACTCCACTTCTCCAAAATCATTCTCCATTCCATACACTATTCAATAAACCACCAGATCTTCAAAATCTCCGTGTCTTTGGTTGTTTGTGTTACCCTTGGCTTCGGCCTCAAACTTCTCACAAACTCCAACCTCGTTCCACTCCTTGTGTTTTCTTGGGCTATAGTGGTTTACATAAAGGTTATCGGTGTCTTAATCGGTCTACTGGTCGTATTCATGTCAGTCGCCATGTTCTCTTTGATGAATCAGTATTCCCGTATAAAGATACTCCTCTCGACCCCACCTCACTATTTCCTCTGATCTGTTTATCTCTGAACCCATTTCCCTTCCCGGCCCAATTCCCTTGGCTGAACCCACACCTTCCTTTTTGTCTAATTCACCATCTCCTCCCTCCACACAGCTCACTAACGTTTCCCCTGAGCCCATAATCACCTTACCCAAGCCCACTGTTCTCCCACCATCCATGCCTCAACCCGACTGGGCTTCCCTGTCCCAGCCCACTACTTCTATTCCCTCACCCGAACCCGCTACATCCACCCAGCCCACAGCCCCTAAAAACCAACCCGACCCGGCTACCCAACCCCAGCCCACATCCCCCATTTCCCAACCCGACCCAGTTCCCCCTCCCGAGCCCAATTCACCAATCCTCCATCGCGATCCAGCTTCTCCTCCCCAGCCTCCTCGCCATTGCCCTCCGCCGTTGCTTCAGTACCGCCGCCGCAATGCTCCTGCTGCCCCTTCCCAGCCGCCTCTTTTGCAATATCAGCGCCGACAAACCACTCCATCTCGCCCACATACCACTACCAAGCCTCCCACCCTCACAAATCGTCCTCCATTCACAACACTAGTAGTACGCATTTGCAGTCCCTCCCATGAGCTTGAAATCCGGTTTAGCAAGCTTCTTCCTCCTCAAATTCGGAAGTCTTTCTTCTTCGACTTCGACATCGACCGCTGTTCGTCGTTGTAATTTCGGTCATCTTCGTCCAGTTCCTCCCAGTAAACGCGCGTTTACCTGCTTGGCAACTTCTTCACCACAAACAGCCGAAAAGGTGAAATGGAGGAATCCTCTCTGGTTCTTCTTCGTTTCCGTTGTTTGCAGCTTCTTATCTTGTTGTGTATTGATTGCACTCTTGACGCGGCGTAGTCCGACGGAGAGCTGTTAGTGGTGGTTGGTGGCGGAGCAGCTGGAGTGTATGGAGCCATTAGAGCCAAGTCCTTGGCGCCTCATCTGAATGTTCTAGTTGTGGAGAAAGGAAAGCTTCTGTCCAAGGTTCCTTTTTCCCTTCCTTCATTTCGCTTTCGTATTTTAATTTCTTGGACGTGGTCTGTTGAATTGGGGAATGGATGCTCTTGAAGGTGAAAATATCTGGAGGAGGAAGATGCAACGTCACGAACGGGCATTGTCCAGACACCAAGGTGAGGAGAATTGTGCCTATGATTAGCAGATTTGGTTAAGAAAATCATTACTCAGAACTAGTTTGTTTGGTATGGATAAGACTGTGAAGTGATTTCGTATTTTCGTTTGAAGGAAACTGCTGCTTCTTCACTTGCGTTGTAGAATCTTCCATTATTGATTCTATTGATGCAATCCTATGTTTGATTAGATTGGTATCACTGAATTAAATTGTAACCTCAATATCTAGGAAATCCTTCAAGCTGCAGATTGCAGATTTACAATTCTAGAGGAGCTACTAAAGTATCTTTTGGAGGCTCGGTGTGTGTGGATTCACTTCACATGGGTTGTATTTTTAGAAAAATTTGCTGACTGAAGGTATTTGTTTGTAGATTTTGGCTGAACATTATCCTAGAGGTCATAGAGAGCTAAAAGGGTCTTTCTTCAACACTCATGGCCCAGGAGACACCATGTCGTGGTTTACAGATCATGGGGTGGCACTGAAGGTTGTGATTCTTCATTGTAACTAATTTTGCTATTGTTGTCTACGAATGGTAGTTCGTATATTATGTCCTTCAGTAATTTGGTTTTCCATTTCTTCCTTACAATGGGCATTGATTGGTGCTCATCTTTCTCAGATTGAGGAAGATGGCAGAGTGTTTCCTATCACCAACAATTCATCCTCAATAGTTGATTGTCTTCTGTCTGAGGCAAGAGAAAGGGGAGGTATGTTTTTTTATAGATGATCTTGGTTCTTGGCTGAGAATGTATATATCCATGTGGTTTTTGTCGCAGTTTTTACAGCTAACTTTAATTGTGGGGAAATTCTTGAGGAAATTGTTTCCTCTGCCAAACTAAGCTGTTCATATCTCCCTGTCCCTATGCTTTTGAGAATTCTTTTATCTGCATTTTCAATGCTTTGAGTCCTTCAAAATGATACATGTTGAATCCTAGTGCCTGTATCAGTTTGTCTGCAGACAGGAAAAACTGTTACTAGTGTATCTGCTGGAGTCCAAGGAAAGTTTATTCTGAAGGTTGAAAAACGTAGTGTTGAGTTCCTTGAATATTTAGAAGCTGACTATTTACTGATTGCAAGTGGCGGTAGCCGTCAGGTACTGCTGGATGAATTGATGGCTTCCTTATGTTACTGTCCTTGTAATATAAGATCCTGAATTGGTTTACTTGTCTTGAAGGGTTATGATCTTGCAGTTCAGCTTGGTCATTCAATTGTTGACGGAGTCCCAAGCTTATTTACTTTCAAGATTAAGGATCCACTACTGTCAGAGTTGTCTGGGGTAAAGCTTTCTCCAAATCATGCAAGATTAATAGCTGAAACTTCATAAATTATTGGTTGTGTTTGACGTTTCAGTGCCTTCAAATACATAATTCTATCATCCAAACAGATAATAAGCTAAATATGTTTCTTATCTCTTTTTTTCTTGTCACCCTGGGAAAATGTTTGCCCTGTTTACTGGTAATCGGTTTGTTTTTCTCAAGCATAGAGTTATTATGGAGATTTGAAATGGAATCTGAGTGGATTGTGCCTCATTGTTCTCTACTTTTATGGTTCAATTCACTGCAAGTATTGACTGTATTATCTTGGGGATTTCCTTATATGACGTTTCTATTTCTTGGTTCCAATTCTCACGTCTCTCCTCAGGTCACATTTCTTAAGGTTGAAGCCTCCTTGATACTGGAAAGTGACAAGAAGAATATCCCACACCTTACGCAGGCATGCATTTCTATCTGTTAGGACATATGACCACATTCTGTATGGGACTACAAATAACTAAAGTTTAGATTGTTTCAGCTAGGCCCAATGCTGGTTACACACTGGGGACTCAGTGGTCCTGTAATTCTTCGACTGTCTGCATGGGGGGCTCGGGATCTGTTCAGAGCAGGCTACAAAGGTGCCGCGTACTTTTATTTCCTGGCTTAGTCTCCCCATCACATCCTCACTTTGCTTTTGTGCCTTACATTCATTAGTGTTTGGATGTAGCGCTGCTTATGGTGGATGTTGTACCTGATTTGAACATTGAGGATATGAAGGCTATCCTTAGCCAACAAAAGCAGAAATTCTCAGTAAAATTTGATCATCCACTTTGTTACTTTCTGCTGGCCTTACATAATACATACTGAGAATTTTGAAACTCGTATCTAGTACTATACATAGATTCAGTTAAGAGGAAAACTTATATCTTTCTATCATTTCACTTGGTTTGCAGAAACAAAAAGTGCTTAATTCCTGCCCATCAGAATTCCAGATTGTGAAGAGATTTTGGAAATATATGCTGGATCGGGAGGTTCTTTCGTCGATCCAAAGAAATTCTTGAATGTTAATGTTTGTTCTTTCATCATCCAAGTTTTTGTTAGTGAAGAATAATCTTACTTCTATGCAGGGTCTGAATTGTGATACCTTGTGGGCATCCGTATCAAATAACTCCATAAATTCTGTAGCATATCTGTTGAAGCATTGCACATTTGAAGTAGTAGGAAAGGTCAGATACCACACTTAAACCCTTCTAGCTCCATTTTCTCATACTTCATGTCCATGCAATGTTACCAATACATTTTCTCCTCCATACAGGGTCAGTACAAGGACGAATTCGTCACTGCTGGAGGTGTTCCCTTATCCGAGGTCCTCACCTCATCCTTGCCTCAATACTAACTCTCTACATTAGCCTCTTGGTTTGTGAAATATGCCTTAACTCTCTGTACGTTTCTACTTAAAGATTTCATTGAAGACAATGGAAAGCAAGATACGCCCAAATCTCTTCTTTGCTGGAGAGGTATGTTTGCACTTTAGCAGCAAAGCAATCTGTCTTTCCCTAATGAATAATTCAGATCGATAGGATTTCTCACTTGCCTTGTGCAGGTATTGAATGTCGATGGGGTGACTGGTGGTTTTAACTTTCAGGTGAGTAATCCATGACACAAAGTTGCAAGCATACTGTCTTGTAGGCTAAGATAGAATCCTCGTTTCCTCCCCTCTACTTTTTTCATGTTCTCCACCTAGGTTCTGATAATCAATCATCTCCTTGATTATCGTTTTTTTTTGCAGAATGCATGGTCCGGTGGCTACATTGCCGGAACAACCATCGGTGAACTGGCAGCTAAAGCAGTTTGCTGAGCCCCTACAACATGGCTTGGGAGAGTTGTAGGTGTTGATGTCATTGGACAAGGGAACATGTCTCCTGCTATTACATGAGTGATTAGTCCATAGGTTCCCTTGTCCTTCAAAAATCAAAGGATTTATTTACCAATTTCTCATTGTAATATACTTTACATGTCTTAAGTTCTCTTATTTCGTGGTAATTTTGAATGTTCGCATTAGGATTTTTGTTTTAAAGAGAAAAAACTATGTAATCTAGTCAAACGGAATTATCAGTGCCCTTGTTGATCGGTGTAATATGATTGACTAACCACATAACTAATTGTTTTTCCCATGCTAAATCCAAATTGGGTTGAATGTCAAAAGTTAGGGACCAATAATAGCTTACCTAATTAAATAACATCATCTACAGTCGCTGGTTGAAAAGACACCTCTTTGGCTTGCCCGACAAACAACCTTCCACTTCTTTACCATCTCTCTATTAGAAAATGAAAATCGCCTTAGCAAGAATCTTCCCCTGTATAGTCTCCAAGTGTCTGAATGCAACTTCTGGACGGCTAAGATTGTCCAGCATGTACACATTCCCAGTGTCAAGCATCGGAGTACCCAGATTGGCTAGATTTATCAACCCCACCGTACACTTCACTCCTAGACGATCCCGCCCTTTTCCCAGTCAACCCTCTAGCAACCGTTGACTCGCTGCCAGCTTCATGACTTCATCAACGACTTCATCTTCTTCCTTGAAAATTCCTCCCCCTACTTCCTTTCCCTTTCACCTCCAATAATGGCGTTGCGGCCCCAATTACCAATCCCCGTCTCCACCACCTTCCATCAATTCTTCCTCCCTCTCACTTTTCTCTCTCCCCGCCACCACCACAATGAACTCCATCTTCCTCTCAATCGTCGCCGCCGTCGTCAGTTTCTTCTTGATAACCCTAATCTTCGGATTCTTTTACTTCCTCTGTAAATCCCTGAAACGCCGCCGGCGCACCCACCACCACCACATCCCACAAACCCGAGCCATCCGTTCCGTACCGCCGGCCACGGCCGGCCGCGGCGGCGAACTCTCCTCGGTCACAATCGACGAGAGCGCCTCCTTCGACCCGAGTCTGAACCGGGTCTCCATGGAGGAGCTGAGGCTCGCTACAAAGAACTTCTCCTCGGATCTCATCATCGGCGACGGCAGCTTCGGCTATGTGTACAAAGCCAGCCTCTCCGACGGAGTCACCGTCGCGATCAAGAAGCTCGATCCGGACGCCTTCCAAGGGTTTCGCGAGTTCCGGGCGGAGATGGAGACTCTCGGGAAGCTCCGCCACCGGAACATCGTCAAGATGCTCGGCTACTGCGCCTCCGGGTCGGATCGGGTCCTGATTTACGAGTTCCTGGAGCGGGGCAGCCTGGACCAATGGCTGCACGACACGTACTCCCCCGTCAGCAAGGAACGGTCCGACGACTCCGTGGCGTCGGTCAAGCTGCTGCCGTTATCGTGGGAGACGAGGAACAAGGTCGTTCGCGGCGTGGCGAATGGGCTTATGTATTTACATGGGCTCGACACCGCAATTATCCATAGGGACATCAAGGCCAGCAATGTGCTGCTGGACTCGGACTTCGAGGCCCATATCGCCGATTTCGGGCTCGCGCGGACGGTCGACGCGTCGCATTCCCACGTGTCCACGCAGGTCGCCGGGACGATGGGGTACATGCCGCCGGAGTACAAGGACGGAGTGATGGCGGCGACGGTGAAGGCGGATGTCTACAGTTTCGGGATACTCATGTTTGAGATTGCCACGGGGGAGAGGCCCAACTTGCCGATGGTGTTCAACGGCAAGGAGATGGGCTTGATTGAGTGGGCTCGGAAGATGATGGCCCACAATCGTTACGAGGAGATGTTGGACGGGAGCATGCCCGAGAAAGAGAAAGGGTTGTTGAGTGAAGAGAAAGTGAAGGAGTTTTTCAGCATTGCTTGCAAGTGTTGCAATGAAACAAATGCAGACAGGCCAACCATGGCTGAGGTTGTGGATTTGTTGAATAGACTTTCTTCCTAGACCAAGTTACTGAGTGGCTACTACTCTGTAATTGTATATTTTTTTAATGTTCTTACTACCTATTGATATTTATCTTACAAGGTAAATTTATTTACTAGGGGTATGGGTTTTTTCTACCCAGTTAAAAGCTGAATGATTTTTTATTTATTTATGGGCCTGAAACTTGATTTATTTATAGTCTGACAGAAAGAATGTCTTTCATTGACAAAATTCGAAAAGAGAAACACATTAGAAGAAGTAACAACAGTAACAAAACTCATCAGTTACTTGCCATTGGCACCAGATTGGTGTTTCTCTTGCTTGTTGAACCGCCAGAGATTAACGAGGCGCTCCAGCACGGCGGCGCTTTTGGAGAAGTAGCCTGTGAAACCTGCTGGAATGGCCGGAGGAGGGAAATCTTCTGGTGGCATTGCGAACGGCCGAATCATCTTCTCCATCTTCTCTAAGGTAAGGTATGATCCCACCTCTTGTAGCCGTTCTGGACCCATTATCGGCAGTGTGTGCTCTCGATGTAAAGATGTTGCCTCCACGTCGTTTCCCTGATCGTAAAATAACCAACGTAAGTTGAAAGAAACAATCGATCGACCTCAGTTAATGCATCATCCACTTCATCGAAAGCTATTAGTTAACCAGTGAATTGAAGAGGCCATATTACCTCCAATGGGGACAAATCTGCACCACGGCTGAATGTCATTTCTATTCGGAACCTTTTCGGGTCTTCCAAGGCAACCTGTTGTTTAAAGTATAAACAGGACGTCGATAAGCACACAAATATTACCTTTACCAAAGCGAAGTTCAGAGTTCGGAAGTGAATGTATTAGGAGGTTGGTTTCTTTCACCAAAAGGCTCAAAGAGAGAGCACAGAATAGCATTAGCTGTTTTACCTCGGTGTTCTCGAACATCCTCAACACGATATAGCTCATGTAGTCAAGCTCCTTGGTATTGTGCAATCTCTCCAAGGCACTATCACAGACCAGACTGTCTTCGTCTTGAAGAGACTCGTCAAGGTTACAGTACCGGAGAACATTCATAAGCGAATGAATATGTGACTCCTGAAACATACATGCATTAGGCAATCAATGGCTAATAGCTTGAAAACTGTGCATGAATAATAAGGGGACGTTGTAAACAGACTAAGTAGGTTTATGTGGTACAGGGTCATGTTACTTACTGAAGTAAAGTACAGGCGCGTCCGAAGATGGCGATCTGGTGTTTTCACATTAGCATATCTGATAACAAAAAATTGTGTTACCGAGAAATTAGTCGATAGAGGAAAACGGAAGAACCCCTGGGGTAATTTAAGTCTCAGATCAATAGTTACAACTTACTTCGGATCCAATCGGTATTTTGTCTCCTTGTCATCATCATCTTCCTGCTCCATTGAAATTTCACTGGCAGTGCTAGTTCGTCTTGTGTCCTCACTTTTAATATAAAGCTTTGGTTGATTATCAGAATTCTCCTTCTCTGTCTTGCTAGAACTTGACGACTCCTGCTCTTGAGCACTCTTTAATTCAGCCACACTGATGGCTTCCTCCCGTGTATTCCTCACGTCAATCAGGATCTTACCCAGTAACCGACGTGCAATCTAAATTTCGACAAACAGAGATATAGGCACGTGCAAAATTTTGTCAAAATGGAGTTTTAGATACAATAAATCAGGGAAAGGGAAGCAAAATAGTAACCGGGTGACATCTAATAGGTGCTCAAGTATATAATATAGCTAACAGCACGCTGTGGAGACATCTAATAAGGGACAAAAGTGGAATTTCTCTAGGGTGCTATGAGAAAGGACCTCTCACCTTGGAACCAATCTTCAGTTTCTGCTTTGGATTGATCCCATACTCATTTGGGATCACACCATCTGCAAGCAACTGAAACAGCATATAAAGCAGTTACACATAATTTCAAAGATAGATAGTGAAAGGCTCAAACCGACATCCCTTCACAAAATGAATAAGTAGGATCAGATTCCACGAATTACCTGAGCAACTTTGAAGAGTTCGTCGAGTCCTTCTAGATTAAGATGAGCATTGTGCAAGAGATCATATCTGCAAAGTAGGTACAGGTTGAGTGGAGGAAACGATAACGGCACAGATGCAATTGCAAGCATGAAATTTCAACATGAACTGCAGCTCTTCTACATCTTGTTGAAAGGTTTCCTAGAACAGGAAAATAATGATAACATAGAGAAGGATAATCCCTGGCCACGCACAATTCCAGTGCTTAACTTCATTACTAAAAGAGTTGCAAAATGTTAGGAAACAGTGTAGCAAGTGAATATTGCCAATTTACAGAAGAAACTAAGGATGTGATTTTAGGCTGCATAACTAAGCCAGGGGATTGTTCCAGATAAAGTAAGCTTCAAATTTGCATACATGGGCTAATATGACAAGTGATACCCATAAATTGGAAAAAAGGTAACTTACTTGCACGAGTCATAAACATCAGGAATTTGAGTAATATCGAAACGCCTGCAAACAAATGAGTTTAAGTGAACGATTAACTACCATGCTTATGTCAAAACAGCATCGTCATGCAGGAATTCATTCCATGTGATCTCCCTCTTATGTTACATTTATCACACAGAGCAATAAGATTCGTCTGCCATTACATATTTCAATGAAGTGAATGAAACCTGTGATCATAAATTCAACGAGGAAAAAGAAACCTATGATCATATCCACATAATGCAGCACTTACTCCTACACCGAACATAGAAGTAACAAAGGATTCAAGTCAAATATTAGAGAACTTACTCTTTACGTTCGTTATACAAGTCCTTTTCAAGTTTCCTCCAGCGAGCATACATCAACAAGAATCCTTCACTACCGCAGGGTAACCCAGCAGCAATTCGATCAACATCAATGTTCGTTTTACCAAGGGCCTTCGCTTGGTCATATGGGAGAACTACATGATAGGCACTTGCCTCAGTAAGATCTTCATCTTCATCTTTGGCTAATAACCTTACTTGCTCAGTCACCTTCTTAGTCAACTTTGCCTTCCAAGAAAGAAAGCAAGAGGAAAATACCGTGAGATGCTTTGCAAACTTATCCTACATTTGAGACCAATAAGGCTCAAACACTAGAAAGACAAAACAGAGAACGTATGAACTTCGAACATTATCCGCCATCGTGGTGAGAGATCTGAAACTCCTAAAATTTTGAATCCATCCAATTGATTCCTTTTCTATTATTATAAAAAAACAAAAATTTGGTTCAGTTAATCGAGTATTTTGTACCTTTACTAGGGATTTGAGAAGGCAAACAAGA